GCGTACACGTGGGCTCACCTGTGGCGGCGAGCCTGGGACCTGCTGGACGAGCAAGGAGGCCTTGGGCATGAGGTCAGCCTGAGGTGGATGCCCAGCCACAGCACGCGGCGGCAGGTGGCGGCGGGCGAGGTGCTGTACAGAGATTGGTACGGCAACCGACTGGCGGACAGGGCGGCAAAGGCTGCGGCGGCCAGCGGGCGCCTCCCCGTGCGGGACAGAGAGTGCCTGGAGAGGAGTCGAGGCGTGGTCGAACGAGCAGCCATGTGGTGCGCGGCAGTCGGCAGCTGGGTCGACGGCAGCGACACCACGCACGGCAAGACGAAGGTGCAGCGCGCGCTGCCAGTGCGCAAGGAGCCAGCGGCGAGAATGGCCTGCGTCTGGAGGAGGCCGCCTGGCCTACGTCCCTGGTGCGAGGTTTGCAGATGGTCAGGCAGATCAGGAGAGTGCCCTGGCAGCATCGTCGCCGAGGCGATCAGGGCCAACAACAGGCTGAAGGCGCAGCAGAAGGCGTCGCACGACCTGGTGCTCCTCGCGCCTGTTGATGGGAGGCTGCTGGTGCGCAGGATGCCGCTGGTGGCTTGCAGGGCGTGCGGGTTCACAGGCGCGGCCAGAGCGAGCTCCTTCCACCTTGAGTGCAAGAGTGTCCCTTCGGCTGCAGGCGCCGCCGCGGTCGCGAGGCTGAGGAAGGGGCTGGCTCCGAAGGTGGTCAGCGAGGTGGCAGTCAACATCACGATGCTGGCGGACGACGTGCAGGAGGGGAGGGGCCAGCCGCCGCAGGACATCGCGGGGGAGGAGGACGGCCACTCCTTGCGCCCGCCAGGAGGAGCTCCAGGTGGCGGGGAGGGGGAGGACGAAGGCCCCCTGCTTCCCCTGACCCCTGAGGGCTCCAGCGCGGCGGCTGGCCCGAGAGGGCGAGCTGGCGGCAGGCGTGCAGCCGCGGCACGCCAGGCCGCGGCAGGAGGCGAGGCAGGGCCTGCGGGCGGCGGCGACGGGCCAGGCCCGCGGCGCCGCGCGCGCGTGCGCAGCAGCTCACCGAGGCAAGCCGCTCTGACGCCGCCCTCGCTGTCGCCGAAGCGGGCGGCCAAGGTGGCCAAGCAGCAGCAGGAGGAGAGCCAGCGGCCTGAGGCGGGCCCCGCCGAGGGAGAAGACGGGGTGGCTGCAGGTGGCAGCGGCGGCGGACCGCCCCCGCCGATGCTGGCGGACGACGTGCAGGAGGGGAGAGGCCAGCCGCCGCGGCACATCGCGGGGGAGGAGGACGGCCACTCCTTGCGCCCGCCAGGAGGAGCTCCAGGTGGCGGGGAGGGGGAGGGCGAGGACTCCCTGCGTCCCCTGACCCCTGAGGGCTCCAGCGTGGCGGCTGGCCCGAGAGGGCGAGCTGGCGGCAGGCGTGCAGCCGCGGCGCGCCAGGCCGCGGCAGGAGGCGAGGCAGGGCCTGCGGGCGGCGGCGGCGGGCCAGGCCCGCGGCGCCGCACGCGTGTGCGCAGCAGCTCGCCGAGGCGCCAGGCCGCGGCAGGAGGCGAGGCGGGGCCTGCGGGCGGCGGCGGAGGGCCAGGCCCGAGGCGCCGCGCGCGTGCGCGCAGCAGCTCGCCGAGGCAGGCCGCGCTGACGCCGCCCTCGCAGTCGCCGATGCGGGCGGCCAAGGTGGCCAAGCAGCAGGAGGAGAGCCAGCGGCCTGAGGCGGGCCCTGCCGAGAGATGAGGCGAGGTGGCTGCAGGTGGCAGCGGCGGCGGACCGCCCCCGCCACGCGAGGCCAGAGGGGCCAGGTCGCAGGAGGAGGTCCAGCCGCCTGCAGGTGAACCTGCTGCTCGATGCGAAGCAGGGGCTGCGGGCGGCGACAGCGTGGACTTGGAGGACAGGTCGCAGGAGGAGAGCATACCGCCTGCAGGTGGCTCTGCTGCTCGATGCGAAGCAGGGGCTGCGGGCGGCGGAGGCGGCTGGCCGAGGCCGCGGCGCTGCACGCGGGAACGCAGCAGCTCGCCAGGCTTGGCCGCCAAGGTGGCGAGGCTGCTGCGGGCCGCGCGGGGTGAGGCCTGGCCGACAGCCTCGGGCGCGTAGCTGCGCCGAGGCGCGGGCGCGCGTGGGGCGCGCGCCTCGCAGGGGTGGCCGTGGCTCGACGCGGTCCGCCTCACCCCGCGGGCATCATCCTCCTCCTCCTCCCCCTTTTCTTCGGCAGGTCGTTGGGCGCGCACACATCCTCCCCCTCCTTCTCCTCCTCCTCCTCCTCCTCCTCCTCTGGCCGCCTCCTGGCATAGGGTGGCGCCCGCTCCAGACTTTCCCAGTACTCGGGCCTCACGAGCCCAAAACGCGACGACGGCTATGGGCATCGGATGATCCCCTCGGATCGGATGACCCCTCGAATCGGCAACGCGATCTGGGTGGGCCACTGGGAGGGGGCTCTCGCCTGAGACCTCCTCGCGATCCTCTAACAGATGAAGCTCCCGCTCGGCGCTTCCTCCAAAATTCAGTCCTCGGGAGCCAACAGATGACGACTGTTACAGGGTTCGGATGACCCCCTTGGACTGGTTGCATGATTCGGAGGTCCATAAAGAGGGGGCTCCCCCCTGAGACTCCCTTTCAATTCACTCCAAGCGAAGTTCCCGCTCGAGACCTCCTCCGGGTTCGGTCCTCAGGGGCCCACGAGTGACGACAGTTACAGGGCTCGGGTGGTCCCATCGGATGGGTAACATTGTCCCGAGGGCCCGTAGCAAGAGGGCTCCCGCTCGAGACATCTTACGATTACAGGGGTTCGGATAACCCCCCGGGATTGGTACGATGATCCAGGGGTGCCCATATGGAGGGGGCGTTGGGCGCCCGCCTGAGACTTCCGCACAAGTCGAACACAGATCAGGCTCCTGGTCGAGACTTCCTCCATACTCACTTTCCAGGGGCCCAAAGGTGACGAGTAATACATGCCTGAGTGCATGATTGGGTGCGCGACGTGAAATTACTGTACGAATGATGGTGACGATGATGACGATGTTGGCGACTACGATGATGATGAAGATGAAGATGATGATGCTGATGCTGATGATGATGGTGATGGTGATGGTGATGGTGGCGGTGGTGATGGCGATTATGATGCTGATGATGATGATGATAGTGATGATGATGGTGATGATGATGTAGATGATGATGGTGATGATGAGTATCATCATGATGGTGGTGATGATAATGCTAAGTACGATTATGCTGATGGTGATGTTGATGATGACGATGAGGAGGATGCTGATGCTGATTATGGTTAAGATGATGACCATGCAGATGACGATGACCGTGTCGTTGACGCTACTGGCGTTGGTAGTGTTGTTGGTGATGGTGATGGGAATGATGAAGATGATGATGATGATGATGATGATGATGATGATGCTGATGCTGATGCTGATGCTGATGCTGATGCTGCTGAGAATGATGATGATCATGTTGATGATGATGGTCATGCAGCTGATGATGATGATGGCGATACTCATAATAGCTGTGACGATGCTGATGCTTATGTTGATGATTGTGAAGGTGCCGATTGCCGTGACGAGGATGCTGATGATACCGATGATTGTGCTGCTGCTGGTGATGATGCTGACGATTGTGATGATGATGGTTATAATGGTTATAATGGTTATGACTGTTAGAATGGCGATGGAGATGTTGATGTTGATTATGACGCTTCTATTCCTGCTGCTGTTGTGGGTGGCGATGATGATAATGTCGATGGTGATGATGATGATGATGATGATGATGATGATGATGATGATGATGATGATGATGATGGTGATGCTGATAGTGATGCTGCTGCTGCTGCTGCTGCTGATGATGATGATGATGATGATGATGATGATGATGATGTGGTGATGGTGGTGGTGGTGATTATGAAGTGAAGATAATGTAAGTTGGGTGCGTTCCTGCCCGTGGTGCGTGCAACGAAATCATAAACTCCATTTTGGATGCGCGGACAAAGCAGAACACATGCGAAAGCCATACAAGCACACGAATGTCTTCCAATCATGTTCGCTTCTTGGGTCGGTCCACAGGGCCTAAAAGGCGGCCAACAAGTCCCCCAAGGAAGCGCTGGGCTGGGTGATTCTGCGCCACCGAGTGAGCCTTTCTTTGAAGTCCCTTGGGGGATGTTGGACTCTCTTTGGGCGGGCTTGGCTTCTTTCAGGTTGGACGCTGACCACTCGGCGCAGGTGAAGAGCGCCTGACCGTTCCGGCAAAGTTGTGGCCTGGGCTTGAAGAATCTTGCCATTCTCTAGCACTAGAATCTCCACGAGCCTTAGGGCACTCCAACACCTGGTGAAGGCACGGTGGCGGTTCTCGTACTTATAGATGCAGATGCATGTATACGCACGTATGTTTAATATTTTACCCGGTGCCTGCGAGTTGGTCAAGATCAAGGCTGCGCTCTCCGACAGGAATATATTTAATGGCCCAAGAGCTCTTTGCGTGGAGTTCCTGTTGCGACTCCTCCTGGCACGTTGGGGGCTCTGACTGAGAAAACACCCGATGCGCCAATGAACAGCGATGGGAAGCGATGCTGTGCGGGCTCACACGCTCCATGGCACTTGACCTGCTAGGCCGATGGTTTCTGTTCAGAGGGGAGTGTGCAGCACGCAGTTGAGGCTGATACCGTGGTGCTGGAGGAGGAGAACCAGGAGCAGAAGCAGGAGGTTTGTTTCTTTCCTCTAGTTGCTGGCCCCAAATGGATCTCACACCGAGCCATCAAAAGGTGCATGGTCTGGGCCCCAAAGAACATCGTCGGACCAGCCCTGGGCCCAGCCCCGATCCCACTTACGCTGCCCCGACCTGCCCCGCCTGCTCATTCTTCTCCCTCTCCCAATTATGCGCTTGCTGGTTCTCATCATTATTCTCATCCCCCTTCTGCTCATCCTTGTCTCCTCCTTCCCCTCCTCCTCCTCTGCCCGCTGACAAACGTTGCATCGTTGGGGACATCGGGTTGCCTCCTCTCGACAAGCCTCCTCTCCTAATCGGCGCGTGGCGCTCCCGAGGATGGCATTAAGCCCAACAGCGTGGTCTTCAATTTGCTTATCAACATCCACGCGAAGACTGGCACCGTAGATGATGCAATTAGATGGTTCGGTAAGATGTGTAAGGCTGGGGTGAGGCCTGACGCTGTAAGCTTCAATACGGTCATCAAGGCTTGTGCACAGAGTGGAGACGTTGAGTGTGCGGAGCATTGGTACACAGAGATGTGCAAGGCAGATCTTGCCCCCGACGTTGTCACTCACAATGCTCTCATTAGCGTGTGTGCTCATGCAAAGCAGCCGGGCAAAGCCGAGGGCTGGCTGCAGGCAATGATTTCCAGCAACATCGAGCCCGATGCAGTAAGTTACTCTATGACTGTCGATGCGTTCGTGCGTGCTGGCGAGACGCGCCGTGCACAGCAATGGCTGCTGAAGTTGGAGCAGATGGGCGTGAAGGCCAGCAGCGTTTGCTATGGCAGCGTGATGCACGCACTTGCGCAGCTCGGGGACTGTGAGGGCATCGAAGACATCCTCGAGCGCATGCGCAGCAACAGCATCGATACCAACGTCACCATGTACAACACCCTCATCAGCTCTTGCGCCAAGCGCGCGGATACAAAGCGCGCGGAGAAGTGGCTGAGATTCATAGTGCGCGAGGTCCGCGGCACAGAGAAGCGGGCGATGGGAGTGAGTTCTGAAAGGACAGGGAGATGTTTCTAGATCTTCCTTCTTTCCACGAAGCCTTCAAGATGCTTTCGAGCCCGTCCAGGACTCCCCCCCCACACACACGCACACACACACACACACACCGTAGAGGGCCCACCCCCCTCGCCCCACACCCTTCAGCGCGTCGCCAGCCAGGGCATGGTTCCAGACGTTGTCAGCTTCACCACGGTCATCCACTGCTGCGCGAAGGCCGACGACCTCGAGCGCGCCGAGCTGTGGCTTCAGCGCATGACGGAGTCGGGAGTCCGGGGCGCTAGCTGCACCTTCTCGCCCGACGGGTGCGATCGTTGTATACTGGACCCCTCCTCCATGCAACACATCGAGCGCCTCCCAAAAATCGCGACGGTCGATCTTTCCTCATATTGGCCCTCTACGGGACTCTTGTCGGGAGTTGCGGGACCATCAACGAATGATCCAGGGTGGACAACCCGACCAGGGGGAACGTGTCGAGAGTTCCTGGGGCAGGCGAGTCGAAGTAGCCGAGTCGTCGGAGATACAGGTCCGCGGCACGTTGTAGCCTGGCCTTTGGACCATCTGTCTTTGCTTTCGTTCTCAGTCCGATTCTCGTTCGCCGCCTCGTCCACGTTCGAGCCCAAGGATGGGGAGCGACGAAAATAGAAAGGCAGGAGGGAGCGGAGCCGAAGGGAAGCGGGGAAGCGGGAAGTGGTTCAAGGGGTGGATGGTGGAGGACGAGGGGGCAGGGGAGGATGCGGAGGATGGGGACGAAGGGAAGCAAAAGGGGAGAGGACTGGGCTGGAGCGGGGGACGGAGGGAGAGGGGGAGGGGGAGGCGGAATGAGAGGACGGAGGGTGATGAGGGCACGGAGACGGGCATGGGGAGGAGGTCGGGGAGGGGCAGAGGAATGGATGGGGGAGGAAGGATTGGCGAGGGACTCCTGGGCCCAGGGCACAGAGAGGACTGATATCCCGAGAGAGGCCCCCGCGTCCTGCCCTGGCATCTCTCCGTGGCGTGCACTCGGGCGCTTCTTCGCTTCTGCTCCCCGCCCTGGCGCGCGAGGTCCCCGCACCCGCTCCGAGCCACGGAATGCCACTCAAACTGGCCCGGGGACTTGATTCTCGAAGCGAGGCAAGGTCCTCGTACGGTGGGGGGGGGCATGCCAAGAAACACCCCGCTTGCCTCCAGGGTGCCCTGTTTCGATGGTTTTGCGATGGGAAGCGTCCATTTTCCCACACCACAAATCAATGGACGTCCTGGGGTCTCATGGTTGGGTTTCTTGTGGGAGGTTTCCTGTGGATCGGCTCCCACTGTAGTTTCTGTCGTCGTTATTTTGATTCGCGTCGCGAAGGGGTCCATTCCATTCCTGCCCCTGCTTCCCCTGCCGCCTTGCTTGACGTCCAGGTTCCGTGAGACGGGCGCCTCTTGCCCCGTCTCGGGCCCCAACACCCGCGAGGACCGACCCGACCCGAGAGAGCCAATGCAGCGACCAGGCCCGGAAGTGTTGGCCGTGATCCTCTCGCCCAGCGCCGTGGCTTCCCTCGCGGCTCGCGTAGGGGATCGACAGCAAAATTGATTCAGTCCAACAATTGATTTTCTTGTAGAATAGACGGGGAATAGTGAGAATACCCCGTAGATCTACCAAGGTTCGACGCGTTCGTCGTAGATTCAATGGGGGAAATGAATTTGGGATTTTGGGGTAAATCTATTATGTAGTCGATCTCCTACTCAAACGGCGCTGGGTGTCGGGGGTTTCCTGCCCTCACGAGCGGCGAACGTATCCGTATCCGCGCCCTCGAGGTCTGGATTCTGGGGCGCGATCCCGCGGATACGTGCGCGATCGCACGGATACGTCCCGCGCGGGGCATGCGCGAAGAAACGCTCCGCACCCGCGGGGTCGCGGCCCAAAGGCCTGGCCCACGAGGCTGCGGCTACGGACAGTTTTTGTTCACCCACGAGGCCCCCCGCCGCGCCTCCCCAGCCTGCCCGCCTGGCCCGCTGTTTGGGCTGCGGGCGTCCCCCGTCCCCCTGAGCGGCTCGCTCCCTCCGCCCCTTCTTTCGGCCGCGTCCTCTTCCCCCTCCTGCATGGTGGCACAATGTGCTCTGCCGCTAGCGCAGACGATCCCTGCCTCGCAGCCGACGCCAAACAAAAAGTTTGGGCTGCGGGGGCGGGGACGAGGCCCTCTGGGAGGAGGAGGAGGAGGAGGAGGAGGAGGAGGCGGAGGAGGAGGCGGAGGCGGAGGCGGAGGCGGCGGAGGAGGAGGCGGAGGAGGAGGGCGGCCGACCGGCTGCTCGGGCCAACCTGCGGCCGGGTGGCCCGCGGGCTGCACGTCCTCCTCTGTCGCCCGCGGGCGCGCTCGGTGGCCACGAGGGGCGGGGCCTCTTTGAGGCGAGCCGGGGCGTCGGCGCGCCAGCCTGCGCGCAGAGGCCTGCCAGCTGCGCAGACACCTGGAGTGGCGAGCGCAGTACCGGCTGGAAGCGTTCCAGGAACGGCCTTGCCTTCGAGGATCGAATGAGTTGTCATCTCTTCCGCCGCGGAAGGCGGCGGAAGGTCGGCGGAAGTAAAACGAGGCCGCCTCCGCCGGCGGAAGCCGGCGGAAGCTCGGCGGGAGGCGGAAGGATGTTTTCAGATCCTTTTGTGGTCTACACGATGTGTTCTTAGAACATTTCTGGGTTCTGAGAAGATTTCGTGGTAGGCCTATAGGCTATAGGAATGCCGGGACGGTCGGTCCCTGCTCAACAGAGACCTGCCAGCTGTGCAGACATTTGGAGTGGCGAGAGCAGTACCGGCTGGAAGCATATATCTCTATCTCGGGGGCGGCAAAAATGGGGGTGATGACTAGAGGGGCGGGATATCATGGCGGGGATCTCCCCAGATTTCATGGCGCCTCTTCTTATTTCAATGCGTCCCTGCCACCCCCCCCTGGGGCCGTCTATATGCCGCCAGCCATGATCTGCGCCCCCCCCCTCTTGGACGCCCCCCTCTTGGTCGCCCACGACTATCCCTAGGTTTGGCACCACCTTTCCTCGGTGCCGATTCTGAGGAGGCCCGCAGTTTCTGAGGGCACATCTCTAAGACTGCCATCGCGCTTGGCTTGCCCATCTTAGGAATAGGGATCAGTTCAAGTCTGGCTAGCGCAAGCAAGTCCGGGTGGCGGCTCCCTCCTGTAATTCCCGGCCTTGCTTCCTGTTTGCAGCGGCAATGCGCGATCTGATTCGCAGCGCCTGCTGATGCGTTAGAGGTTGCTCTGGTGGTCGCGTGGCCACGCTCGACGGCGCGGACGGGCCTGGAGGCAGGGGGTCCTTCTCGCTGGTTCGAGGGCCGAGGGGCGTCCCCCGAGTTCCCTTGTCCTTCGCTCCGTAGGGCACGCAGGTCACCTGCAGGCTGGGCGGCCAAAACAGTTCTCGATGCGGCTCGAGAGCGGTCGGCCCGAATCAATGTTTGAGACACGGTGGCCGCGTACCCATGCGTCGCCTTCTTCGCCAGCGCGTCCTTGCGCAGCCACATCATTGGTTCGATGCTCCTTTGCACGATGCCTTGCTTGCGGCTACTCGAGGGGCGTTGCAATCAGCACCAGGACAGGAAGAACTCCCAAATCAGGTGTACATCCGGTCGTGTACGGCAGAAGGGCACTTGTCACGAAGTGAGCATCGAGCTGTTTCGTCGGGAGCGACACCGAGCGCTCCGGTGTTGTCGAACTTCCCACTCTTGCCCATCATGGCCGCACGACGCACTGCTTCAGCTCGACGGTAGCAGCGCCCGACATCCTCGCGGGTGCCATCACCATAGTCTTCCAGGGCGTCGCCCAAGGTGCAAGGCCAGCCGTAAGGCCATCAGCATCATCCACGGGCGAGCGTTCGATATCGAGTCGACAGCTTTTGTGCCGCCTTCGGCAGAGGACCCCTCCCTCCCTCGTCGCCGCAGGGTTGGGAAACGCCGACCGGCTGACAGCGGCTGCGCTCAAGGTGGGCAAGCACAGCCAAGCACCGCCCTCCAAGGTGGAAGGTGCGCTCTGGCTTGGCACTGCTTCGGAATGTCTGAGGCGAGTGCGGAATCTAGATTGGACTCGGATTCAGCGCTGGGGCCGACACTAAGAAGCGCCGGGGAAATTACATCTGCGGTTGTGTACCCGGCCAGCCGGTTGGGCTCACCGCTGTGGGGAACAACAGAGGTAGACTTTTGGAGGGTGAAAGTGGGGGTCGGGCGCAGGGTCCCGGCAATGGTGTTTTTATGGGGCATAAATTGGCGATACAACCTCGATTGCTGTGTTCGGCGGGGGCACCAATTGAAGCTCCCCGCCTGCACCCACGCGCAAGACTTGAGGGGAAATGAAGCAAGGGGGCGGGGGGCTCGGGAAAGGCGACGAAGGCAACGTGCGGTGAGGGCGCAAAATGAAAATGTTGGAACAAACG